GTTTATTATGAAAGGTTTTCATTTCTCCTTCAATTAGAGAGGATAGCCTTGCTGCATACAGTAATATAGGTTGGTAGATTTTTTTTCTTTCAGGGTTTGATATACATCAGTCTACATTCTTCTTGCTCTTAGAGTTTCCATCAAGAAATCTAATGCTACTCTTGTGGATTTTCCTTTATTGGTAATTTTTATTTCCTTGTAAATCTGATTCTCCAGAGAAAGATACTCAATAGAAAATGTCTCTAAATGTGATTTGTAATTTTATTCCATTGTGATCAGATAAGTTATAGGAAGTTATTTTTCTTTTTATAAATCTGTACTTAATATTTTCATTATAGCATTTCATGAGGAGGGTCTCTATTTGTCTTCTGTTTAGAGTCCCAAAGGCCTCCTGTATCTGAGTGTCTTAATATTTGAGGGTTTTCTATTATTTATTTGTTTGTTTGTTTGTTTGTTGCTTGTGGGGCTTGAAGTCTGGGCCTGGGTGCTGTCCCTCAGCTCTTCAGCTCAAGGCGAGCGCTCTACCACTTGAGCCACAGCGCTACTTCCGGTTTTCTAGTGGTTTATTTGAGCTAAGAGTCATGGACTTTCCTGCCACAGCTGGCTTTAAATGCCTATCCTCGGATCTCATCTTCTGAGTAGCTAGGATTACAGGCGCCACTGGTGCCTGGCTTCTGCTATTGCTTTTTTTAATCTTCTATGCCTTTAGCTGGCATCTCTTCTTCTATGCTAATGATGCATAGTTTGGTTTTTTAGTGGAATCCCAGCAATCTTGCATGTTCTATTAATTCTTCCTTTTTATTCTTTAACTAAATATTCTAATACATCTACCTTATCTTCATGCCCTAATATTCTTTCTTTAGTTTCATCCAGTTTTCCTGGAGTTTTTCAACTGAGTTTTTTTAATTTGACATATTGAGTTTTTCACTTCCAGAATTTTACATTGATATTCAGGATTTCCATAGCTTTATTGAATCCTCTTTTAATAGTCTCATTTTCTTATTCAGGTGTTTATTTGTATTTTCTTGGCATTCATTTAGAAGTTTATTCATGTCCACTTTGGTTTTGTTGATCATTTTCATAGACATTCTTTGAGTTCTTGGTTTGGTGTTTCATTTGCTCAACTACAATTAATGTCCATTAATATAGACTGATTTATGCTTTGAGATAGGAGTTCACTGATTTATTTTGTCAAGCATTGTTGCCTCTGTATGGTATTTTCACAATAAAAAAAAAAAGCAGAGACTAATTTCTTTTGCCTGGATGTGCCTTCAGCTTTTATCCATCTATCTCCACCTTCCATGTAGCTGAGATTATGGTCATGAGCCACTCCTTCCTGGCTAGCTGGAAGTTTTTTTTAATATTTTTTTTCTTTCTTTTTTATGTTTTTTATTGTAAAAATACTGGAGAGAGGAGTTACAGTTACATGAGCAAGGTAATGAGTACATTTCCTTTCGAGCATTGTTACGTCCTCCTTTGTTTTTCCCCACCATCTCTTCCCTCCCACCTCCACAACTCCTCCCTACCCGCTCCCAAGTTGTAAAGTTCGTTTTCAACATAGTGTCTGTACATCTCATTGTTACAATGGGTCAACCTGTATCCTTATTTCAGCATTTTGTTATTTTCCTTCCCCTCCCCAAATTAGAAAAATGTATATACAAGATGCAGGGCACTGACATCAAATACAGTGAAAACAGGGGTTATAACATGGGGGAAGAACATACAAGAGAAACAAAAAAATCACATAGTACATTTTAAATATATTAAAAACAATAGCAAGAAAGAAAAAACCACTTGTATCCCTATCTTGGGGTTCATTTCACTTAACATCATCTTCTATGGTCATATGTACATTAGCTGGCAGTTTTCATCACTTGTAGTCTATCAGTTGAAGTGTTCTCAGTGTTGAGACAGGGCTAGAAAGTGTCCAGGAGGCTGTGCTATTTCTCTCCTGGATTTTGTGTAGAGCTTAGTAGCCAAGCACTCACCCACATGCCCAGGGGCTAGGCCTTGAGTCAGCACTGTTCAGATTGAGAGAAATTAGTTGTAATCTGCTTCTAGACTACTTTCACTACAGAAAGTTCCCTTTATGTACTGGAACTTGCTGATGGTCACAAGGAACTTTCTAATCTGGGGGCTATACAGGCTCCTATTTGTTCTACAAGCCTCCCAGTTAGTGTCCCAGGACAAGCAACATCCAAGCCTCAGTGTGTCTCCCTGAACCTGTCAGTGAGTAGAGCAGACAAACAGAACATAAAATTTTACATTCACAAGGACCTAGGTACTCAGCCTAGGAACTCAGTGCTTTAAGACCCTATCCAACAAGTGACTCCCTATCTGTGAGAAGTTGCTGTAGAAATTTCGTGCTTCTGTCGGAAGGAGTGACATTGACCGAGGTATATTGTATTCATAAACTGCTTTGTTAAATGCCAAATCATTTGCACAACTAGTTAAAGATACAAACAAACAAACCAATATAAATATGTGCTTCAGAGGGCCTGGACTCTGCTCTCACTTCTACCTGACTGGCTGGGATACAATTTCCCCACAAGTATGAACACTTTCAATCCTGTTCAGAAGTTTCCCTCCCTGTGGAGGAAAGAGTGTGAGAATCACATGGTTCAAGAGGCTGTGCTTGGGACTGCCAGACCCACCGGTAGCCAAGACACACACCAACAGGAGGCAGTCCTGGAAGCCAAGTACTACACCAATCACAAACCTGTCCTTTGTTTCCACTGCAACCCTTAGACCTGGGGACTCGGTCTTCAGGAAGGGTGGGGCCTTGTACCTGCTGTGCCCTGCTCAGCCCAATCTTTCTGCAGCTTAAACTTCTGAGCAGGACTCTAGCTGCGTTCCCCCCTCACCCCTCCCCCCCCTTCTTTGACCTCTCTGATGGCTGTCTCCCACCCACATTGTGGATAGGATCATTCTTGATTTTCACATCCCAATCTCAATATACTCCCCTCTCACAATGACCTCTTGCTGTAGCTTGCCCAGCTAAGGAGAATGTCAACAATGTCTTTCTTCTCTGTGTCTAGCCTTCAACACCAGAGCAGTCTCTCACCAAATCCTGTCCTAGGCTTGAGGCTGTGGGAGACGTGGGCTTATTCTTGAGCTTGAGTTGCCAGTCTGCCGCCTGGGCCAGCTCACTTGTGTTTGTCTCTTCGGTTTCCCATTCCCCCAGGCACTGAACATGGAACTCTTCGCTGCTTTTCTTTTCTCATTCACCTTTCTGGTTCTCCATACTTTTCAGTATTCATGCACCCAATATTCTTCCTCTCTTTCTCTCTTCAGAATAGTCTGACCTTTGTTACCTTACTGTTTTCATTCTCAACCAGACATCTTGCATGGATCAATATGCTTTTACTCAATCCAGTTAATGAATATAAGAAAGAGATCTTTTGAGAGGACAGGTAAGTTATGAGACCTACATTACCTAAATAATATTGGGTTTCATGAGGAAATATTAGGTGTGAAGAGCTAAAAATGTAACCCTTATCACATCATCCTCTCATACACATAAACTAATTTGGCCTGATGATTCTGATCAGGCAAGTTACAGATACATTGCAAGCACTGGATAAGTGAGTAGTCCAATGAAAGCATAAATCAAAGAATGTGACTACTGAGAAATAGACCTGCATCTTAGGAGAGAAAGTGTACAATGTTAGTTTGTTGTCCATAAATAATATAGTAAGTAGTTAATATATAATTAGCAATACTTAAATGACAGAAATAAGATACTGAATAAAAGACGATGAATGTGGGGCTAGGAATATGGCCTAGTGCTAGAAGGTTTGCCTAGCATGCATGAAACCCTAGGTTCCATTCCTCAGTACCACATACACGGAAATGTCAGTGTGGCACTGTGGCTCAAGTGGTAGAGTGCTAGCCTTGAGCTGAAGAGCTCAGGAACAGTTCCCAGGCCCAGAGTTCAAGCTCTACGACTGACCAAAAAAAAACCCAAGATGATGAATGATGTAGAGTGTTTTCTTTTGCAAAGTGAATTAGGACAGCAGGCAATTCCTTTTCCATACAAGATTCTATTCTGAGTACTTACTACATAAAGAGGGCTGCCCAAAACATGGGCATGAAAAGATATGCTGGCATACTTGAAAACACTTTCTTTTTTTATTTTTGGTCTGGTCGTGGGGCCTGAACTCTGGGCCTGGGCACTGTCTCTCAGCTCTTCAGCTCAAGGCTAGTGCTCTACCACTTGTGCCACAACGCCACTTCCGGCTTTTTTCTTTTTGCTTATGTGGTGCTGAGGAATCGAACCCAGGGCCTTATGCATGCAAGGCAAGCACTCTACCACTGAGCCACCTTCCCAGCCCAAAAACAGTTTCTTACTCATAAGGAAACAGCCTTCTTGAGGACATTCAAAGAAATCAAACTGGTAGAATACCCACACCATCGGGTTGTGCATCTAACAAAGATATCCTCAGGTTCTGCGGGAGAATTAGCAGCTTGTCAGTCAGTTATTTCCAAACTTAAAGTGAACGCTTAGATTGAGATAATGGTGAGAGAGACCTTTGCGTGGGCAAAAAAAAAATTGATCACAACCATACCACTGTCTTTAATGTTTAACATAAATTAAGTTTGTTTAATTCCACCTAATATGTACTTAATGTGCATGCTTGTGACATTCCAAGTCATTTCTGTTGACAACTGTGTGCTATGAATGCAACAGCAACAGTAGTCCTGATAAACTCATGAGGATACCATATTCCCCTTAGTTAACAAATGGAATATGAAGTGGGGCAAAGCCACACTTGTTCAGTACTCATTGGTATTTGAAGTTTGAAGATTTCTTTTCTGAACAAGTCTCACTCCTATCTTTAACTTATTGGGGGAAAAAATCATACACTTGTTTTTCATTGAGTATTGTTCTTATATATGTTTGAGTATTGTCATTTTTCTAATAATATGATTGTTACAATTAAGATGAGTTATTAGAAAAAGCCTGTGACAAAAACTAATTATGTAACTTATTTTCATAGGAAGCTTATAGAGACTCATCTGAAAACGATTCCTAGTCATGCGTTTTCCAATCTTCCCAATATTTCCAGGATGTAAGTCATTTTTTTAATACAAAAAACATTTGCAATGGTGATATATTGCTTTCTAAATGTGTTCGGTCAAGGAAAATCCTTTCTGTTGTACAAGAATAAGCCAATCCATATTTTAATGTATTTGCAGATTCTATGAGCATGATGGTCACCTAATTTTGCCAAATGTCCACTTAGTAGAAGATTTAATCCTAAAGTAAATTTAAATTCATTCTATCTTGACAGATTAACCATTCTTGATACATTTTAGTATATTTTAAAATGTGGTAAAACTTTAGCTGGGAATCCCTCCTCTAAACAGGTTTATATGCCTAGCTCTTATCTGTCTATACTAGCTTCCGACTAATTCACTTTTCATCATGAACGCAAATTTTTACATACAGCCAAAATGTAGCCAATGGTTTCAGACTTAGCTGAAAACAAAAGGACTTAAAAATAATTCTAAATCTGAAAGACTGCATTGCTACACCTTCAGAGTAAGGAGAAAAAAAAAGAAGTAAGATGGTTTAACACAAATTTATATCTGTATATGAAGCAAGTCAGCCCTTTATTTCATTTAACTGGTTCTGTCAGTGAATGTATGCAACTCAAGCATATCAAGTAATATCATCAGGACCAACTACTATAGCTTCTGGCTAAACATTCATTTTGTGACCATTTATTGAGTGCTTATTGTTTCATTTCAGTAAGTCCCAAACAGAGGCAATTCTGAGATCTGACAGTTTGGTTGTCAAAACTGGAAACTGCCATTTTCTACAAGGGGGGAGCAGAAAAAAGATTTCTCTTTTTCTATTTCTCCCTATTTTAACCTTTTACATTAAAGTAGATCCTTATTAGAAAAATGAAATCTTGAGGGGAGAGACAGGGTCTTGCTGCCTGCCGAGGCATACGCCTAGTTTACAATGTTTGTCATAGCTACAATGACAGGCACACACCACTGTGCTCAGCTCTCTGTTAAGAAGGGGTCTTGATTACTTTTCCTCCCTGGTTGGTCTCAAACTGCAGTCCTTTAAATCTCACCCTCCCAAGTAGCTAGAATTTCAGTGTACCAGCATCAATTGCACTGATTATATTTGCAATAGGCTCTTACTTCCTGTCTGGAAGATGCTTGAACTACTTTCCACCTATTTTAGGCTTTCTATCATAGCTAGGACTGCAAAGGAATATCCCCATGGGCCAGCTTCTTCCTTTGTGATGGAGTCCTGTGGACTTTTCTGTCCAATGATCCTCCCATTTTTCAGCTTCCTAAGTAGACAGGATTATAGGAAAAAGCCACTGGCGCCCAGTACATTTTTTAAAATGTCTATAGCAATCACTACTTTAATCTTACTGAATAAATGGTACCTAATTGCTGTCTCCACAGCCAAATTAAAACAGTCTAACGGATGGGTTTCCAGTTAAAGAAACTAGAACTTCAGTCCAATGAATGTGGGCTCTCACTAAAACCTTATAAAGTCTTAAAGTCTTACATTTCTTAACTAAGAAATTTGGCAGAAAATTTGGAGCAAGGGATTGCTGCAATTGAGGGGAGCAAGTTGGCAGACTTCAAAGTGAATCTTACTCTTCTTATGGCTCTGTTTCAGCCATGAGAAATCCCATGCAGTCCATAAACAATAAATCAATCCTTCTAAGTATGTTCCTTTGTTGCCTCTATGGTTGAGATATGATATTTGTTATCAAAACAATTTATATAATGTCATTACCCTCAAGAGTCAAAGGATTAGGAAAACTGATAAACCAAAGGGTAGTTGTTTAGAGTATAGATAATTCAAAACAACAATCACAGGGCCATTAGAACATTCACCATACCATGATTTTAAAAACTCCGATTGGACTGATTAACGCTCCTTTTATAAATATCATTTCAATTAAAATATTTTCCTAGTAGATTCAATTCAAAGTGGTTCTCGACCTTACCTACACATTATCACACAAGAAGGATGTGAAAAATCAAAGTGCTTGACTCATCTTTCATAAATGCTCATTTAATTATCTAGGGCCAGTGTTTGAATTTCTGTGTGTTTGAAAAGGCCCCAGGTATATTCTTTTTTTGAATTGTATGTCCAGGATTGAGAATCTCTGCTTTGTCTATGGCTAGACACCATCTGTTAATCATTAATTTTCTCAAATGTCATAGACACATCTCTTAATAGAAAATGATCATTGAAAATGATCATTACAAGATGGAATGTAAGGAAAGTATTTGAAACATTATTACTTTTGTATTCCTGACAAGCTGTTTTTAGGAGTTTCCTCTTTTTCTTTCCTTAATATTTGAAACATTAATTTGTGATTTGTATAAACAAAGCTCAAAATGAATTTCAAGTTTTCAGCCTCATTTAAAAATGAAGAAGGAACCTTATGCTAGTGGCTCATACCTATAATCCTAGCTACTCAAAAAGCTGAGATCTGAAAATTGAGTCTTGAAGCCAGCCTGTGCAGGAAAGTCTATGAGACTCTTATTTCCAATTAACCAGCAAAAGTCTGGAGGTAAAGGTAGGGCTCAAATGACAGAGCACCAGTCTTGAGCAAAAAAGCCAAGTTCTGAGTACATCGCCATCGCCAGTAACCACAAACACACACACACACACACACACACACACACACACACACAAAGGTGCATATGCTAAAATCAAGAAGGGAATTCTTAGGAGCATCTGTAGTCACCACCCTATGGAATATTCCACTAGACGATTGTTGTTTTATCTTCCTCTTCTTTGAAATGACATTTCTAATCCTATTCTATTACAAGCTCTATTTAAAATGGTTCTTATTCATTCGAATATTCTTTTTCTAATGCTTTCATTTTGTTATCTTCGTTTATTCACTTAACACACTTACTAAGAATCTACTAGACATTTCTGCACTATTCATCATTGCCAAGTTATAAAAATAGCTAAGATGCCCCTTAATGAACAAATGGATCAAGAAAATATATTATATGCACATGATGAAATTGTACTCATCCATCAGAATGACAGAACATCATTTGCAATGAAATGAATGGACCTGTGTAAAAGTATGTTAAGTAAAGCAAGTCTGGCCCTGAGAGACAAAGGATACATTTTTTTTCTCTCTAGGAAAACTAAAACTAGTTTATAAATGTGCAAGTAAACACATATGAGCTTGTATGAAAGCATCCACAAATGTATTAACCAGAATATGGTATTTACAGGAGATCTTTCAAAAGGTATAATTCCTTAGGAAAATGAATTCACAGTCCAACAAAATGAATACCAGGAAACTGGTTCTTGCAAGGTGTGGGAAGGGAGGTCAAGGGGTAAGAGGTAGACAACTGAGCAGAGGAAGTGAGGGAACACCGTCATGATACTCCAATACGTAGCCTATAAAACTAGGAAAATTGAGAAGGAGGGCTGGGGGAGAATGATAAAAGGTGTGATATCCATCCAGATGCACTGTACTTCAAACTAGTTTGTTGAATGGTAACTCTTTTGTACACTACTTAACAAGAATACTACATCCCCAAAACTAGCTAAACCACTAAAGATTCAGCAGACACAGAATTTATAGTGTAACAAGATAATATGACTCAAATATTATCCAACCCACTGGAAATGTGTATGATAATATGATCATTTGTGAAAGGAGGAGTTTGTGTTGCTCAATAAAGATGCAGTGTGAGAATTTTAACCTCAAGAAAAAGTTGGGAGAAAGCTTCTGAAAGATGTGACAATTGAGACCTTAGGAGAAATAGGAAATAAGGTATTGGGAAGGTGTGTGATGCTTTTTGCATGATCTGGGAAGCTCTTGACAAAGAAGTTATATCAAAAATAGTATACATCAGCTAATGTACAGTGGCTTATGCCAGTAATCCCAGCTATTCAGGAGCCTGAGATCTGAGGATCACGATTTGAAGCCACTCTGCAGAGGAACATCTCTGAGACTTTCATTTCCAATAAATTACCAAAAAGGCCAGAAGTGGAGTGGTGGCTCAAGTGGTAGAAAGTTAGACTTGAGGAAAAGAAGCTCAGGAACAGTGCCCAGTGCCCTAGTTCAAGCCTCAGGACCAGCAAACAGAAACAAAAAATCTAGTATACTAAAACCAAGTGCTGGAAGCTCAAGCCTGTAATACTGGCTATTTAGGAAGCTGAGATCTGTGAATCAAGATTCAAAACCAGCCCAGGCAGGAAAGCCTGCGATTCTTACCTCACATGAACCTGCCTAGAGCCAGAAGTGGAGATGAGATTCAAAGTGATAAGAGAACCAGCCTTGAGTAAAAAACTAAGGGAGAGCACCCTGGCCTTGAGTTTAAGCCTTAATACTAGGGGAAAAATTACATATACACATGTATATGTATATGTACATATATGCATGTATACATATATGTTTATGTATATATAAGGTAGTATACTATATATGTTATACAACTTTCTACTTTGAAATACTAACTTTCTACTTTATCTTATTTTGTGACATTCAGCTACTTATCTATAGACGCAACTCTACAGCAGCTGGACTCACATTCCTTCTTCAATTTGAGTAAAATGACTCACATGTAAGTACAAGGAAAAGTGAAGCATAGACCCACCCTTGACAATTTGGGGGCTTGGATAGCAATAGGAGCTGGTTTCTGGGTCACAGGTCAAAACTTGTCCTTAAGGTTAAATCCTCTTGTTCTCACTCAGTTTATGCTAATCCATTCTAATTACATGTGGTTGGGGAAATGAATGCCAATTTTTTCCATTGTTATTCATTTTAATAAAATGAATACAATTGTAATACAATGTAATAAAATTGTAATACAATGGGGTCAGCAAATTTTACTGGTGTCAATGTGAGTGAACCAGAAAGTCTATGCTGAGTACCTACCTGACTCCAGAGCCTGCTCAAGATCCTTCAGAGCTACTATTTTTCCCTTAATTAGAAAAATGGGAACATTATGTAGTGAGATTTGACAGGAGTGAAGCTAATAGCTACCCTTGAATTTGAACCCTAGTTTCTCAATGCTCCCATGAACTGTGGATATGTCAGGTAATCTTTCTTTTCTGTGTGTGTAGGGGGTGCATGTAGCCTAGAAAATGACTGACTTCATGAGACAGAAAGCAAGGAAAGACAGGAAGTGACTAGGATTCCATAATACCTTTGGACAGCATATCCACTGAACTTCCATTAGACTGACTCTCCTGAAGGCCTACAGCAGCCCCCAATAGCACAACGCTGAGGACCAGGTCTTTTAAATGGAGAATTTTTTGGGGGAAATGGAGGTGATACTCTTGCAAACTACACAAACAAAATACTAACAAACAACAAAAATACTATCCATCTGCAAATATTTGGTACATTTTAGAGATTAAATGTATATACTTTAATTCTCAAAAAAAGTGCATTAACCAAACCTATAGATACAAAGAGGTTAAATATATTTTCTCCAGCCATTCAGTTACTAAGGAATAAAGATATAATTTTCTTATTACAAATGTCTAAGTCAAAATTCTTACATGTGTATAATATATTATGGTGCTTTCAGAGTACCAAAGCCAACATTTTGCTCCTAAATTATGGTAGGCTACCATACATCAGATTAATCACTAATCTGAGAATAGAGGATACACATAAAAGAAACATCTTTTTGAATGTGTTAGGGGTGCTACATGGGCTTGAGTGGAGATAAAGCAAATCTAGAAAATAATGTTTGTGAAGGATTTGCTAAGTAGAAAGCAACATTGAAAGGCCAGGGGAGGGCAGCATAGAGATCTAAGCAGTCTCTTGCTACTAGGAAATAAAAATTAGTGATCAAGGCTAAGAATGGTTTCTAGGAAACACCTAGTGATTTTAGCTGCAATCCTTTAGTAGCCTTATTCTACAAGTACAAAATGACTAAAAAATAGGCCAACCATCACAAATATGAGAGCTTAGATTTGAGTAAACAAAAATAACCAAATATGGGGCTATGAAGTTGGCTCAGTGGTAGAGCGCTTGCCTTGCATGCCTGAGGCCCTGGGTTCAATTCCTCAGCACCACATAAGCAAAAAGAAAAAAGCCGGAAGTGGCGCTGTGGCTCAAGTGGTAGAGCGCTAGCCTTGAGCTGAAGAGCTGAAGGACAGTGCCCAGGCCCAGAATTCAGGCCCCCACGACCGGACCCAAAAAAAAAAATATGTATGGAAAATACCAAAGAAATAGAAGAAAAAAGACAACCAAAAGTGATCCTCAGGAAATGGACCTGTCATGGATATCAGACAATGACTTCAAAATGACTGTAACTAATGTGTTCAAAATCAAAATGACAAAAGAATAATTCAGAATAGGAGTGTAAACCACCATAAAGGATCCACTGGAAACTCTCAGATTCAATGAACCAAACTTTGAAATTACAATCTAAACACATAAGCTTGACAATAGACCAGATGCAGCTCAAAAAAGAATGAGAAACTTACAAGCTATATCATACCCAGGGATTAGGGAAGAGAAAGGGAACAACAAACTGGTGAGACAAAGGACAAAGGGTGAACCAATGCAACAGCGAGAGTCACAAGACAGTATGTTGGAAATGATCTGGACAACTTGGGGCAGGAGGGAGGGAAAGTGGGAGAAAAATGAGGGAAGGGGTAACAAGTTTGACAAGAAACGTACTCACTACCTTACATATGCAACTGTAACCCCTCTGTACATCAACTTGTCAATAACATTCTTTAAAAAAAGAAACATATAAGTTAGAAGATGCTTCCTCAATGCATGTGTGGAGAACTGAAAGTAGCGTGTGCTGGCATGAAGGCAGTCCAATTGCCACCTTCACTTCCTTCACTCAAGCTAGCCAGGACCAGGGAAGGGCAGAGCAACTGTCAATTAGGGAATGAAACTGCCCTATTCCCAACATACGAATATAACTAAAGGAAAAATAAGCATTACAGGCTGTTCACAGTAAATATCGTGGAGATAGTTTAACGCTGTGTTCTTCATAAAATTCACATATATATGATGGCTTTCAGGATGACCTTACATCTGTTCTGTAATATGGAATCATGGACCCGCAATGCTGAAGTTGCTTCTGTTATTGACCTAGATAAATCTAGTACTGAAACATTAAAAGCTCTCTGTCCATTCAATAAATGCAGTATGTTTAATACTGTGTTAAACCTCTGGCCCCAAAGCCTTGAATCCTCTAAGCAGGACTCAAAAGCATCAATCATTCTATTCTTACCAAAACCCACCTCCCCAGGTCTCTGTGATGCCACAATCCTGCGTGTTCCTCCTGCCATGATGCCCGTCTTTTCTTACGAGCCTTTCAGGCTTCTTCTTCCTCACTGCTAACTATTTAGGGCTCCCCAGCTGGTCTAATCCTGTGTCTTCTTTATTTCCTCCCTCTTCGTTCTCCCCCTTTGCAATCTTATTGAGCAGTTCTGAAGTTGGTGTATCTAGTCCAGCTTCCTCTTAATGTTGGACCAGCCTGTCAGTCTACTCGACTTAGTCTCAAAATAATTGTATTAACGAAACCTATAACTACAAAGAGGCTAAATATATTTTCTCTAGCCATTCAGTTACTAAGGAATAAAGATAGAATTTTCATCTTATAAATGTCTAAATCAAGAATTCTTACATGTATATATTATGGTTCCTTCCAGAGTGCCAAAGCTGAAATTTTCCTCCTAAATTATGTCTATCTTCCTGTCTGTTTGAATACCCAGGCATCATAAACCTCCCATCTTAAATCTCCCAACCTGAAGCTTTGATGCTCCTTCTGACATCTACCACTCTTTCAGAGTTTGCTAAGCCAGAAAGCAACAATTCTACTTGTTTTGATGTAAATCTCACATGCCTCAGAGTTCTCTCTATACTTTCCTTGTTTAATATACAGCTATGACTTGTGAGTTCTTTTTTTTTAATGGCCAGATCTAGAAAGTTTTATCCAATTCCAAAAGAAAGAGTTAGAGTGACACCTTATCAAAAAAGATACTTCCAGCCAGGCACTAGTGGCTCACGCCTGTAATCCTAGCTTCTCAAGAGGCTGAGATCTGAGGATCATGGTTCAAAGCCATCCTGGGCAAGAAAGTCTATGAGACTCTTACCTCCAATTAACCACTCAGAAAAACAGAAGTGGAGCTGTGGCTCAAGTGGCAGAGTGCTAGGCTTGAGCTGAAGAGCTCAGGGACAAGACCCAGGCCCAGAGTTCAAGCCCTACAACCGACAAAAAAAAAAAAAAAGATACTTCCTATCATCTTTTATTTCATAGCTGTTCTAACAAAAGTGATAGCTCGTTGTAGTTTATATCTCATTAAATATGTTGAACAATTTTTATGTACCTTTTGACCATATACATATATTATATAGATATGTATATGTTGAGAAATATACCCATTTGCTTAATCAGCTTACATGCTTTTTTTTCCTGTTGTTTGTATTCTTTTGATAATCTAGAGTCACCTTGTCTTATGTACGGTGTATGTTGCTGCACAGCTTTTTATCTTAATGTAGTTTCACCTGTTTACTTTTATTTTTCTTAACTTGATGCTTTCGGGGTCTTATCCCAAAAAAGTCCCAAAGCATTCCAAGTCCTGAGGCATTTTCCTTTTTTTTTTTTTCTAGTAATTTCATAGTTTCAGGTCTTATAGTTGTCTTTTTTTTTTGCTTTTAAAATATTTTATATATTTAAGTCTTGGATTAATTTTAAGCTGAATTTTCTATACAGAGAAAGAGGATCTAGTTTATTCTTCTCCATGTGATTACTAATTCTCTGCATATGCTCATTTCCCCGACATATAACCACTCTTGTTTATTGTTGATGATTTGTTCACTGTAGATTCATGGGATAGCTGGGTGCTTTAGGCTCATGCTTTGAGTAGAAAAACTAAGAGATAGCATCTAGGCCCTGAGTTCAAACCCTGTATACCAGAACAAAAATAAATAACTGAATGAACTATAGGTGTATGGGTTTGCTTCTAGGCGGTTTGCTATATTCCATTGTGTGTCCATTTTTATGCCAGTACCAAGCTGTTTTTATTGCTATAGCTTGGTAGTATATTTTGAAGTCAGGTAATACAACACCTCCTTTGTTCTTCACTCAGGGTTAGTACTTTGCCTTTTGAATCAGGCTTCCAGCTCCAGCTTTTTTCTTGTTAAACAGAGTAACAGTCTAGAGAAAGTGTCTATCCAGCTGGCTTTGAATCACAGTCTTCAGATCTGAATCTCCTGAGTAGCTAGGACTATAGATAGGAGTGATGCACTATAGCCCAGCTTGTGATGGGAGATTTTTTTTCTTTTTTAATGCAAATTTGTTTTAAATCATGAATATGTATTACATTTGTAATCAGATAAAACAAACTTCAAAAATTAGAAATTTCTACAACATGCATTGGACTTGAAATTAGTCACTGATGTTAAAATTCATTAGGGATTTTAATAACACAAAATTATTTAATTAAACTAAAACCAACTCTCAACAACTGTAAATAGGATAATTAGCCTAATAATGATTCTCACTTTTTGCCTGAATATTGTAGGACATTTAGTCTATTTAAACTAACAAGAGTACAAATCCCAGTACCACCAAAAACAAAGGGA